TCCACATCGCCATCAGCTGAACTCTATCGTTCTGCATTTTTGTCGCTTTTGAGATTCTGCGCTTTTTTGTTGCGCGTTGGTTTGTCTTCCTTTTCGTTCAGGCATGACTTGATTATATATTGTGGTCTTGCCGCAAACGTTATCTGTCATCGGATTAACTTTATAATGGCAGTAGCTACATCACAGTAGGCGCAGTACCTGATTACACTGAAAGAAAACCCGCGAAATTTTCAAAGCTCTTTTTGAGGCACTTGAATTTTGAGTCGAATATACGCACTAAATAAAGTTTGTTAAGCGTGCGTTTTAACCGATTTTTGTCAAATTTCCACACAGCATAGGTACATATTTCGGCTACAAAACGGTTTGCGCGCGAGCTTTTTATTCAAATAATAAGCAAGTTACAAGCTTTTTGTTGTCAATTAGTTGCAATATAGCATAGGTCTGGAATGAATATGCCGTAACTCATGAACCCCTAAAGCAACTACAAAACGCGAACACCGTTTTTTAGAACAACCTTTGAGAAGAGTAAAATTGATATTTTTATAGGACTTGAGTAAAACCGGCGTCTAACAAACTTCACGGCGCGGAAGTACCGCGATTTTAGACTTCGGCAAATATCTGAATAAGTATTTATTCTTTCGTACATATGATCAGAACATCTTACACTACATTTATCTAACTACATTTGGTGAAAATTTGATGGAATTTGGATTAAAATTGATCGAGTTACAGCGGATCTCCCGAAAGGCATGTCTAAGGTATCCTGGTAAAATACAAAAAAATTGTAAGGAGCCCCATAGCCCGATGCACGTGCAAATCACACTACAAGAGTAATTTGACCTTTATAATCGATTTCCGACGTTTCCCGAGTGCTAGGATGTAAACATCGCATTGTTTTGGATATTTGAACTTGAACCTCCGGTCAAAGCTCTCGCGTAAAATCTAGATATTTTGAAATACCGAAATAAAAGATGCAAATCTGCAATACAAGCTTGAACACAACACTCTAAATAGTGTGTTAGATTGTGATTCGAACAAGACTAATACCAAAAAGAAACGTTGGAAGTGGCCGAAGTTATATAATTTCGGCGAAAGGTATGGCTTAATAATAGTGAACATTGTTTACATTGTTCGAGTATATTATATATAGGTATAGTTTACACTGCCCGAGTATGGATAGTTTATAATTTATGGCTATTTTACATTGTTCAATTACATAGTATCTTTCAAGCGGAATTTTTTGGTGGTATTTTCGTATTTCTACTGCAAATACTCGCGGAGTTCTTTAATATATGGAATTGACTTGACAACCTCCGCCTTTATAAAATAGCGGGACTTGGAATTAAAAACAGCCATGCGCTGCACCAATTATCCAATCAGAAACCAGAATTTCTTGTATAGGATAGTGTTGCATATTCCGCCATATGAAAATCAGCGGAACACGAGACATGCGATTATACAAATTGCGTGAGTAAGCAATCAATTGCGTGGAAATTAGCTAATTTTGAGTTTCAGAGGTCAAAGAGCAGACAGCAACATTGCGTAAACTTTAAATAAATAAATGAAAGCACTGAAATATTTATAAATTTTCAGAATAAGAAAAGCTGTGAATTCGGCTTCACTATAAAACATTTCCTCATTTTTTTTTTAAATTTCTAGTCCCGCCCGGCGGTACAGCGGGACCGCTAGCTACGCCACAATAACAATACACAAACTAAAACAATCGTATACAGTATTAGTTACCCACCGGTTGGCCGAACATTCTGTACTTCATATGGAGAAAAAATTGAATACCTTCTGAACTCTTCAGACTAAGTCAATAGGAGTGAAATACTCCTTGTATTCAAGCGCTTTCGTGTATGGCCAATAATAAGCACCCCTATCCCCGATGCACGTGCAAATCACGCTAGATGAAGGAGTAATTTGACCTTGTTCCTACGCCCCTGAATTGAGTTTCAAAACTCAATTAAAGATTGAGTTTTTGGGGCCGTTTTACGGCCCTACAAAATCCCTGGAAAAAACCCTGGATGCATGATTCAGCAAAAAGCTTCATTATTTTCAAGAGATGGATTATAGTTAACTGTAAATGAAATGTTGTTCAAGCATTATAATAACCTCCTTGAACCACAAGATCTTCTCTACAACATTTGAGTTCTGTTTAACCTGCATTTGAACTTTCGTTTAGTCTAGTGACTAATATTTTAAGAGCAGATGTCCACTAAAATGGATCAAAATCGAGAATTCGCGGACACATTCAAAATTTCGATTTTGCTCATTTTTGGTTTGCTAGAAGGCATTAGCAAGTAAACAAACGTGATATGGTTTGTTTTCCAAAAACCGTTAAAATTCCGAGAAACCCGAGAAAAACCGTTCGGCTGTCGGCGACCTCAAAAATATGCAAATTTTCAGTTGAACCAAACAAGTTCAAAAACAAGTAACGCATGCAAAGTAGGCCGAAAAAGATGTGAAAACTATACGTTTGTAAGTCGATAGAAGAGATGTTTGAGACTTGATTTGGCATAAAATAATAATTTTAGCTATTAATTAAAACCTGACAGCTGATATTTAGAATCGTATGGTATTCACAAATAGCGAAAATTACGATGTACCGTTGCCACGCAAAAAACATTTTCACTAAGTGCCCCAGACTTTTTCCTCACGAAACTTACGTCATTAACTAATTATATGTTCTTCTAGAACATATAAAAAAATTAGTTTGGGTTATTGTATTTAGAGTTCGTACGGAGGCCGTGAATATTGGGTATTTTCGACATATAGCGTGACTGAAATTGACAAGTGTTTGTTCCTTCCGGTCGCTATTTTCTCATTCGTTTATATTTTCATTCGGAATTTAAACCCGAAAATGCCGTTAAAAATAAAAAGGCACCCTTTATTAGCAACTCACAGCGTTTTAGCAGTTACAGCATTTTTAGGAAGTGTCTCTAAAGAAGCTAACATCAGGTGAAGCAAGTAGAACTGACACGATTGGCGATCGCGCGCCACCGTACTGTACGTACGATTAAATTTACTCTCCTGATAGAACAATCACAATATTTTTGGTTCTGTTTATATCTCGCAAAATTAGTGCAGTTTTTAAAATTAGGAATATTTGCGTGCGAACCATTAACACTATTTTTATTGTTCAACATTGACCAATTCGGGAAAAACAACTCAGCAAAACGATTACTTAGATCATTTGCAATTCTAAACGACATCAAGCAGATTATTAATGAGCCGACAAGAATAACAGAGCATTCAAAGACTCTCATTGACCTGATTTTTGTTAACATTGAGCATAGAATTGTACAATCTGGTGTTATTCATACATCGCTGAGTGACCACAGTTTAGTATACTGTGTTATGAAAGGAGGCATTCCTAAAGTTCCCCCAAGGAAAATCGAATATCGTTCGTTCAAGAACTATAATAAAGAAGCCTTTGTTAATGATCTCAATCAAGTTCCATGGTCAGTCATAAGCGGCGTCGAAAGTGTTGATGATAAGGTACTCCTCTGGGATCGTCTATTTTCTGAAGTTGCTGATCAGCATGCTCCTTTAAAATTTAAACGTGTAAAAGGAACAAAGACCCCGTGGGTGACACCTAAGCTTACAGAAATAAAGCGTGATCGAGACTATCACCATAAAAAAGCTCGCACTTCGAATAGTACATATCACTGGAATATGTACAAAAAGTTGCGAAACCTTTCCAGCCGTGAAGAAAAGAACCTGAAATCAAAATATTACTGTCAGTTGATTGAAGATGCGAAGGATGATGGTAGCAAGATGTGGCGAGCAATAAAAGAAGTACTTCCAAGTAAAAAAGGATCAGCTATATTTTCTGTTTTTGAAAAAGGAAGACTACACACTGATAAACAATCTGTTGCAAAGATTATGAATGATTATTTTGTGTCTATTGGCAAAACACTATCAAAGGCCTTTGGTCGCAATGCCCCTGTTACTCCTGTTATCAACTCACTGTCCACCAATTTCCATCTCAATAATGTCTCTGTAGAGTTTGTTAAAGATACTTTAAGATCTTTAAAAAGGAACAAAGCTGTCGGCCTGGATAAGCTGAGCGCCCGCTTATTAAGGGATGCCTCCGATGTTATCTCTCCAGTCTTAACGGAACTGGTTAACAAATCGTTCACAGACGGGGTTTTCCCTAAGATATGGAAATCAGCAAAGGTATCGGCATTGTTTAAAGGCGGAGACAAATCACAAAAGGACAATTACCGACCAATATCAATATTACCAACTGTGAGTAAGATTATTGAAAAAGCGACGCATGTACAATTGTGTTCTTATTTGGAAGAGAATAAGTTACTGTCGCATTCCCAGTTTGGCTTCCGCCATGGGCGATCAACTTCTACAGCGTTGAGTGACTTCACAGACCAGATTTTAGAGAATATGGATGGTGGAAAGGTAACAGGCGCAGTGTTTCTAGACCTGCGAAAAGCTTTCGACACTGTCGACCACACGACAACTGTAGGTGTGTCTGGTAAGAGTCTGGCATGGTTCAATTCCTATCTCAGTGGCCGGAGTCAACAAACGATGTGTGGTGATGCGACATCGTCTGCTGCAAATATCACCTTGGGAGTACCACAGGGAAGTATTCTAGGACCGCTGTTGTTCCTGGTGTACATAAATGGAGTTCAGTCTGTCCTAAAACATTCTAAGATGACAATCTTTGCTGATGATCTGGCTTTTTATTGTCCCGAGAGTTCTGCTGCTGATTTGCAATCGAAACTGAACTTAGACCTGAAAGCTATCTCGGTTTGGTTGCGCGATAACAAGCTCACACTGAACGTTGAGAAATCAAAATTCATGATTATCGGTAGTAGCGCCAAACTGAAACAATTGAATCCTATAGAACTTGTAGTTGGGGATGAGCAGCTGGGGAATGTTGCAGAGTTCAAGTATCTTGGCGTGATTATCAATCAACATCTAACTTGGCATAATCATATCGATCAGATTCAGAGTAAAGTCGCGCAAAGGTTGGGTGTTCTCAAAAGGTTGAAGCACCTGCTCCCTATTCATGCAAGGAAACTATATGTTTCAACAATGATCACACCTATATTAGAATATGCTAATAATATATGGGGTGATAAAAACAACAATGTTCTAATGGATTCAATACAAGTATTGCAAAATAAAGCAGCCAAACTGATCTTGGATAGACCACCACGCTCCTCGTCAAACGAAGCTTTGTCGAAACTGAATTGGCTAGACCTGTCTAGTAGAAGAAAATTGCAACGTTGTGTTTTCATGTTCGATCTTATTCATGACAGTGAAAGAAACAATGTGATAGTTAGAGGAACTGACATTCATAATTACAACACACGAATGAAAGATACCATACGAAAGGAAAGAGTTGCAACTAAATGGGGAGAAATGGACTCAATAAATAGTGCACTAAATGACTGGAATATTTTACCCGTAGACCTAAGATCAATCCGTACGAGGAGGTCTTTTAAGACAGCAGTTCTTAATGAACTCAAGACTAAGAGTTATGCATAATGACACTAATTTACTTGTATAGCTCTTTTAACTATATAGCTCCTTTAACTTTTAACGAGCTTCTGTTTTATACATGATTTATAATCTAATTTTAGTACATATGTAAGATGATTTTAACTCTGTTAGTATCTTATTATTGTTGTGTATTCTTTGTTACACAGGACCTTTTTGAAAACCACATTATGTGAAATTGGCCGCCTGTATAAAGAATTTTTATAAATAAATAAATAAATAAATTGCTGCCAATCAAAGTCAATAAAGTACCTAAAAAATTGTTTGGCAGTGTTTTACCCGATTTCCCTGTCGTGACTGTTGTCTCTATCATCGCGTTTCTAGTAACAATGGAAATAGTGGTAAAGAAATATTTGATAGAATCACAGGAATTCTACATTTCTCGTTTTCTGCCTGTTTCCACCCTGCTCCAAGAGTAGATCGATGTGCAGGATATATTACGAATTGCTCAATGTTTTCCGATTTATGCCCTGTAAATCATGATTACAATTTAACAACTGAACGCATTCTGATGATTTGTTTTTAACTCTAGTATCATGGCCACAATGACCAACAACTATTGCGAAAAAGGAGCACTTTATATCCATGACGGTCAGACCTTGGCAAGATCTATTTTTAGACATGCAGTATCAAACTTTCCAGATAAGAAATTTACACGTTAATTACATCGCCCGATCGCTGTCTCAAGACAAACCGGCGCTTTTACCTGATAGTTTACTTTTCACCACAAAAGTGTTTAGGATTCAAGTGTGTTTAATTTTGCTTTGTAGTTTTGTTAATGGCAGAACAATATTCTGTACCTTAAATTAATTCCAGTGTACTAGTTCCTTGAAAAATTTAAAAATACTAGTACCTTAAAAAATTTCAAACTACTAGTACCTTGAAAAATTTCTGCCTGTTTCCACCCTGCCCGCTGACCCTGGGAGATTTCAAATCCTCCACCTGCTTTTAAGATAGTTTTCTTCCAGTTTCAAAACACTGATTAAACACATGGGCGTACCGGGGTGGGCGGCAGCCCCCCCCCCCCAGTTTGTTGGGCAAACAAAGTCAGTCGGGCAATATTCGCTCCACAGTCGGGCAATATTGGCTTATTATAAAAATAAATGGGACAAATTCTGTCAATTTTGTGGGAAATTCCGTCAATTTTGTGGTCAATTTTGTGATGTGTTGAAAATTTGTATGATGTTCCGAAAAATTTTTGGACCCCTAAAATGATACACTGACCGAAACGGGGGGGGGAGGTCGCCAAAATTAATTTGTTACGGAAAAAAATTTTTCGGCACTGGTCGGGCACAATCCGAAAAAGTCGGGCAAATTTCTTTCCGCCCCCCTAATTTTTTCCTTCCTGTACGCCCATGATTAAACATTAATTTCCTTTGTTTTCGGTTTATAAATTATTAATGAGTTTGAGAACACAATTTCTCTGTCTCTGAGCATGTTCAGCCAAACCACATGCAAACTAACAATTAAAAAAAACTGAAAATAATTTCGAAGTCATCCTTCTTTTATAGCTTAGTGAAAATGTGCTAAGTTTTGTCTTTAGTTAAAATAAGGGGCCGATTACGTGGAGGTTTTCAGCCCGGGATGAAATTTCAGCCTGGCAAACAGGGATGAAATTTCAGACCGGGGCCCCTATAAATTCAATATAATATGAATTTTACGATTACATGGAAAAAATTTCGAATTGCAAACGAAATGCAAAATAAAGCCACTTAAACGATTGTTTTTTTAGCCCGGGCTGAAATTATTTGCGATTACATGGGATATTTCATCCCGGTTGACAGGGCTGAAATTCAGGCCGGGTTGAAATTTTCATCCCGGTTTATGTCACCCAGGATGAGATTTTCAGCCCTGTCAACCGGGATGAAATATCCCATGCATGTAATTGCAAATAATTATGCAACCACAGTCTTACACAAGTCAAATAGTCGACTAATTAATCGGCGTTTTAAATGCTCAAACAAGCGGAATATTGCCTTTCGTGATATCGTATGATTTCAGGCCGGGATGACATTTCATCCTGGGTTTGTTTTAATACTACAAGGAATAAATATTGCTCTGACTAAAACTCAGCCCAGGTTCAAACTGCCCATGTAATCGTGATGCTATTTCGGCTCGGTTTACCGGGCTGAAATTCAGCTCAGGCTGAAAACTCTCCATGTAATCGGTATAAAATATACAGAAATTATCTCGGTCATAGCACTATCTACTTAGTCTTAAATAAAGAATGCTGTGACTGCTAAAACCATGTAAATTGATAATAATAGCCATTCTTACGGAAATGCATTTTCGGGTTTAATTCCCGATGAAAATAGCAACTATTTATGAGAAAATTGAGCGACCGGAACTTCCGGAAGGAACAAAACACTTGTAGATTTCAGTCACGCTATATGTCGAAAATACCCAATATTCACGGCCTCCGTACGAACTCTAAATACAATAACCCAGACTAATTTTTTTATATGTTCTAGAAGAACATTTGATTAGTTAATGGCGTACGTTTCGTGTAGAAAAAATCTGGGGCACTTAGTTAAAATGGTTTTGGCGTGGCAACGGTAGATTGTAATTTTAGCTATGTGTGAATAACATACGATTCTAAATATCAGCTGTCTGGTTTTAATTAATAGTTAATATCATGATTTTATACTCAATCGAGTCTCAAACATCTCTTCCATCGATTTACAAACGTACAGTTTTCATATCTTTTCCAATTCTACATGCGTTAGTTGTTTTTGAACCTGTTTGATTCAATTGAAAATTTGCATATTTTTTAGGCCGCCGACAGTTGAATCGTTTTTCTCGGATTTCTCAGAATTTTAGCGGTTTTTTGAAAAACAAACTACATCACGTTTGTTTACTTGGTAATGCCTTCCTGCAAACCAAAAATGAGCAAAATCGAAACTTTGAGCGTGACCGGCTGATGCTCGATATTAGTGGACCTTCGCTCTTATGACGTCGAATATCGTCGTCATAAACACCAAAGTTGATCGTGTTTATGACGTCGAATATCGACGTCATAAACACCAAAGTTGATCGTGTTTATTACGTCGAATATCGACGTCATAAACACCAAAGTTGATCGTGTTTATGACGTCGAATATCGACGTCATAAACACCAAAGTTGATCCTGTTTATGACGTCGAATATCGACGTCATAAACACCAAAGTTGATCGTGTTTATGACGTCGAATATCGACGTCATAAACGCCAAAGTTGATCGTGTTTATGACGTCGAATATCGACGTCATAAACACCAAAGTTGACCGTGTTTATGACGTCGAATATCGACGTCATAAACACCAAAGTTGATCGTGTTTATGACGTCGAATATCGACGTCATAAACACCAAATTTGATCGTGTTTATGGCGTCGAATATCGACGTCATAAACACCAAAGTTGATCGTGTTTATGGCGTCGAATATCGACGTCATAAACACCAAAGTTGATCGTGTTTATGACGTCGAATATCGACGTCATAAACACCAAAGTTGATCGTGTTTATGACGTCGAATATCGACGTCATAAACACCAAAGTTGATCGTGTTTATGACGTCGAATATCGACGTCATAAACACCAAAGTTGATCGTGTTTATGACGTCGAATATCGACGTCATAAACACCAAAGTTGATCGTGTTTATGACGTCGAATATCGACGTCACAAACACCAAAGTTGATCGTGTTTATGACGTCGAATATCGACGTCATAAACACCAAAGTTGATCGTGTTTATGACGTCGAATATCGACGCCATAAACACCAAAGTTGACCGTGTTTATGACGTCGAATATCGACGTCATAAACACCAAAGTTGATCGTGTTTATGACGTCGAATATCGACGTCATAAGCACCGAATTTGATCGTGTTTATGGCGTCGAATATCGACGTCATAAACACCTAAGTTGATCGTGTTTATGACGTCGAATATCGACGTCATAAACACCAAAGTTGATCGTGTTTATGACGTCGAATATAGACGTCATAAACACAAAAGTTGATCGTGTTTATGACGTCGAATATCGACGTCATAAACACCAAAGTTGATCGTGTTTTTGACGTCGATATTCGACGTCATAAACACCAAAGTTGATCGTGCTTATGACGTCGAATATCGACGTCATAAACACCAAAGTTGATCGTGTTTATGACGTCGAATATCGACGTCATAAACACCAAAATTTGATCGTGTTTATGGCGTCGAATATCGACGTCATAAACACCAAAGTTGATCGTGTTTATGGCGTCGAATATCGACGTCATAAACACCAAAGTTGATCGTGTTTATGACGTCGAATATCGACGTCATAAACACCAAAGTTGATCGTGTTTATGACGTCGAATATCGACGTCATAAGCACCAAATTTGATCGTGTTTATGGCGTCGAATATCGACGTCATAAACACCTAAGTTGATCGTGTTTATGACGTCGAATATCGACGTCATAAACACCAAAGTTGATCGTGTTTATGACGTCGAATATAGACGTCATAAACACAAAAGTTGATCGTGTTTATGACGTCGAATATCGACGTCATAAACACCAAAGTTGATCGTGTTTATGACGTCGAATATCGACGTCATAAACACCAAAGTTGATCGTGTTTATGACGTCGAAAACACCAAAGTTGATCGTGTTTATGACGTCGAATATCGACGTCATAAACACCAAAGTTGATCGTGTTTATGACGTCGAATATCGACGTCATAAACACCAAAATTGATCGTGTTTATGGCGTCGAATATCGACGTCATAAACACAAAGTTGATCGTGTTTATGATGTCGAATATCGACGTCATAAACACCAAAGTTGATCGTGTTTATGACGTCGAATATCGACGTCATAAACACCAAAGTTGATCGTATTTATGACGTCGAGTATCGACGTCATAAACACCAGAGTTGATCGTGTTTATGACGTCGGATTTTCTGGGGGGTGCAGGGGGGTGCTACCCCCCCCAATATTAGCTAACCCCCCCCAAACAAAATGTCCACCCCTCAAAAAAAAATTTATTTCAACCCACCCCCCCAATATTCGGCATAATAAATAAATAAATAGTCCACTCCAACGTGCAGAGTGTTGATGATACAAAATAAACGTAGGAGTACACTCGAACAGAAAAAG